AGAATATAACTGCTTTCCTGGGCTCTATGCAACCAGTATGGGATGGTATAAGTTACTGAGTTGTGGTTTTATTGACTGCAGAAAATCAGATTTAATTCACAGATTATTCAAAAGTACTGTTTTAATGTGGATATATTAAGCTAGATAAGCCTTCAATCTCTCAGTATTTTACTAATTAATTTAAAGCAAGGTAGTTTTTAACTATATGAAGTAGCCCCGGAGATCAGAGACAAAATCTACACTAAAGTTTGGATTGTGTGTGTGTGTGTGTGTGTGTGTGTGTGTGTGAGAGAAGAGGAGAAAGAGCGAAGAAAGAGAGAGAGAGAGAGAGAGAGAGAGAGAGTACAAGAAGTGAAACGAAGGAGTTAGTTTTCTCTTTCCACCATTCCACCATTTAGGTCCCAAAGTATTTCTTGATGGCAAACACTGTTACCCTCTAAGCTACTCTGTCAGTCCCTAGTACAGCCTAATTTTAAATTTTGAAAAGATTTATTTGTAATATGTTATATATTTGTATGTTTTGCCTGCTTATAACATGAGCAGGCCTGGTGTTGGAGGCCAGAAGAGGGTCTCAGATACCAGGCAACTGGAGTAACCAATGATTGTGTAGCATTGTGTGGATGCTGGGCATTGATTGCAGGTCCTCTGCAAGAGCAACAGATACCCTAAGGTATTTAGCCATCTCTCCAGCCCCTTCCGTTTTATTTTTTGAGGTGGTGCTACCTAAACTGCTAAAGCTGGATTTAGGTTTACAGTTTTCCTTCCTCAGTCTTCTGAGTGGCAGAGACTGCAGGCCTATACCACCAGCTAAATTGGCTCTAACTCCCTTTAAGCTAAGTCAGTCATACTTATGCCTAGTATAAAAATAGTTATTAATAAGTACCATCAATGCTTCCATACAGAAACATACACCTATACATTAATGTACATATAGAAATAGAGGCCTTTAGAATTCATTACACTTTCGACCTGTGATCTGACCTTGGAGTGGTGTATGCTTGATTTTCTTTCTTTGAAAATGGTACCTCATGCAGTCCCTCTAACTTATTGTTTATATCTTGAACTTCTGGTCCTTTCGCCTCTGCTTCCCAAAGAGGATGGTATGATAGGCAGGTGCCACCATGCCCAGTTTTGTGCAGTGCTGGAAATGGAATCCAGGGTGTTATGCATGTTGGGTGTGGTTCCTACAGGTGTATCAGCTGACTTGTATTCCCAGCTCTCAGGATCTGGCTTCTTCAGAAATGTTAAAACATGAGTGGACACTAAGATACTCCAACCTGAGCTGCAGGTAGAGAAGACTGCTAAACCTCATTGGATCAGTGGCTTGCAGATGTACACAGACATACCCACAGTGACTTCCAGCTTATCTTCTTAGAGATTTATTTTTATTGTTTTTATCGTGTGTGTGTGTGTGTGTGTGTGTGTGTGTGTGTGTGGTATGGAAGTACAGACACTCCTCTAGGCCTGAAACATTAGCTCCCCTAGAACTGGATTTACAGTCAGTTTTGAGCCCCACTATGTAGATACTGTGACATGAACACAGGGCTATTTCTCCAGGCCTCCCATACCTTTTCTTGAAAATGGTGTTTCTTTAAAATTTGAAAAATATTTGTTTTATTATTTCTTGTACTCCTGAATTCTAAATAAATATTATATTATCTTCACTAATTATTTCCTTACTAACAAAATTATGCCTCTAGTCACACAGCCACATCTTGTAATGGTAAGCACAGAAAGATAGCAGTGCTTTCCAATGAAGCAGTGGCTAGAGAATTTGCCAAAAGCCACCTTGTCTGCTTATGGGATGGAAACAACTGTGCTTCCAAGTTTCCATCACCTGTATTTGCAGAAGAGAAACACAGCAGTAAACAGTTCCCACTGGCCTGAATTCTCTGGAAGAGTGGCACAAATGCTTTCTACAGAAAGGTTGGCTCTTGCAATGTATTTATATTATTTCCAATAAAAAGTAAGGCACTTACTCTGTCATACCTGCGTTGGGTTTGGTACACAGAAAACTGTGTATAACCCTGAAGTCAGATTACCTTTGGGAACTTTCATAGTACTGTTGCTGAGGTATCTGAATTGTCAATCTTTATTCCTGAAGACACTCCCCAGAGAAAAAGACTATCATTTTGTAGCAGTCTGTACCATAAAAGATGCTGACTGAGTGAAGATAAATAAATAGGGCAAGATGAAGAAATCACAGAGAAGTCACTGGAAGTTCAATGGTTAGGCTTCATCCTTTATTAGGTAGTGAATAAAAGACAACTGATGCTTAAAACTCCAATTTAAGAGACCATTTAAACAAAAGAGGTTCCGTCTCGAAGTGAGGCAGACGGGGTCCAGGTTTTTCTGAGTGTTCTCATATGGCTGATGAAGAAAATATGGCTGATTTGTTTGTTCCAAGCAAACCATTAAAGTTATTAATGCCTTGTGACCCAGGACTCCATGTGACCCATGGGCCCTGACTTCTTGCAGACTGGTTCCTTCGCTTTGGTGAAAATGGGAGGAACAACAGAAACACATTAAAATGAAATTGCATTGGTAGTAAGCACAAGTGGCCTTGTTGGGTGAAAAGACCAAGATGCAGTGAATACAGTGAACAAACAAATAGAAAAATTAAAATGCAACACAACGTGAAGCTGCTGGTCACATGGTAACAAACTCCAGGTAACTAAGTCCACCTGCCCAAACTAGCCCCATCTGAAGGCAATCAATAAATAAGTAAAGGAAATACTTGACAAAACCAGAAGGTGGTGCTTAGAAAGACTGCAACTGAGAAATCACCATGTTCAATGGCAGATATGTCTAAAAGATCTTTGTACCAAAGAGGGCTGATGGAATGATTCTACTTTCTTCTTCTCGCTTTTCTTCTACTCCTCATGTTTTCCTTTACAATCTTTCTTTTTCTTTCCTCTTTGAAAATGTTGTTTTGGTTGTTTGTTAAGTAACAGGTATACATAACTGGCTGCTTCAAAGATACACTTACATGACAAATTCTATAGCTAGACACTGGGAAAGTCCTCTAATGACCACATTTAACAGTCAGCACCATGCACACTATGCATATTCTTTAAATATAAATGACAAGTGCTAACACCTCTCTCTCCAGGGAGTCCTTAATTCTCTATTTCTCTCTGAAGTTCATTACATTTGAGATAAAAGAAGTTCCAGGAAGGCCACACTCAGTCCATCCCTATAGTTTTAAATAGTCTTTATAAAACGTTTTCAAAAATATTTTTTTGATTTTTAATCCTAAGTCACAGAAGGCTAATGTGTACATGTTTTGTCTTGTTCTCTTGTCACAGGTCATCATTTTTGAATGCAATAATTGGTCTGCATCCAGCCCCATCATATGCATAGGAGCAAGCTAGCTTTCAATGGGAAAAAGCATACTGCCTTTATCAGAAATTAAAGGCACAGCTATTTCATGCCATTTGTTACCAGTTTAATGATAACATGTAACACTGAATGATTATAGAATTATCTCATATAGATTTTCTTTTTATAAGTTATTATCTCGGTCTTTCTAATATATATACAATATACATACATACATTCATATATATATATATATATATATATATATATATATATGCACATATATCTCAAAAACACTATACATATATCTTTTTCTGGCCATGTTTCTATATATATATATATATATATATATATATATATGTATTTTCCCCTGATAAATCTTTTTTAAAGATAAAACATCAATTACTTTCAGCTCTGTGGTAAATAATCAAAGGCAGTTCTTATCTCACAATGCCACTAGAGAAATGATGGTCTAGGGGACCTTGCTAATATACTTTGTTGATGTCCTGTCATTGGTGTGCAATGAACTCAGATTTATTTTTCTTGACAGCACTAACATTTAAAAGTATGTTAGAGGTTTATGTCATGTCCGTTAGAAAAAGATAACAAAACAGCCATAGCTCATGCTTATGTCTGTCTTCATACATTCCTATTAAAAAAATCAAACTTTTGCTATGTCTTTACTGGAATGACATAAAGGGTTATTGCAGATGACTAGCTTTCTCTTCTTTTGTACATCTGTGCTCATTTTACATCATCATTTGAGATTCTGATGGCTCCTCAGGTTTAGACTAAAACACTTAGACTGATTTCTTGCCCATGACACACGGCTGATCAGTTTTCAGATACATTGTCATTCCAAACACTTCACTTTCTCCAGCAATGCCTGTTCCAAGTGGGAGACTAGTATTTGATGATGAAGTGTCTTTCTTGGTACCTCTCCACCTCTAAGCATACAGGAAGCGGGTGCTGACCATGTAGGCTTCCAGGATACCATCTGATGTTTTTTGTTTGTTTGTTTATTGATTATAGGTATGAAATAGCTGTTCATTCTACCTTTTTCAATTCTTTAAAACCTAATGGCAAAGATTGAGACACAGCACTATTGTTTGACAAGACATCTACTGTATCTACTTTTGTTTGGATACATACCCAGTAATTGCTGTCATAGCCAGAGGACCAGCAAGAGCACTATTATTCACAGTGTTGCTTTTGTTTTTGTTGCTTTTTTTCTTTTATATATATATATTATTATAATCTACAGAGTAAATTATTATATATACATTGGAACCAGTTAATGCCCTTAGACAATGTATAATTGTTTTAGAAAGCAGGAAAGACAATGCAGGGCAAACAGGTGCCCAAAAATGCACAGTCACAAAGACTTCTGGAGTTCTAGATACCACTATGAGTCAGTGCTGGAGATAAGTTCTAAAACAATCAGTGTTCAAGAAGAATGCTTTAATTTGGAGAAAATGCCACGCCTTCCCTCCCCTCCCCCCAGCCCCACCCCCATAGTATTTTTTTTTAAATAATCTTTTCATTTTACTATCAAAAGTCCTGGCTCTTCAGATACACTTTAAACTATAAATAAACACTGCATAGTTCTCTTTTGTTTGATTTTAGTTTCATTTTGTTGTCTTAAAAATTATTGCAGTACAACTCCTCCTGCTTGGAGTTCAGTAGGGAGCAAAGAGCACAGGAGTATGGGTGGTCCGAATGGGTCCAGGAGCTGGCCGCAGGAGAGCTGGAGGAAGTGCAGAGGTCTGGAAGAGGGTGGCTGCTGGAGCAGTTCGAAGACTGAAGGGCGAATTTACCGCCACAGCAGCAGCAGCTGCTGCAGCTGCCAGTGGATTGGGGAGAATTCGGGGAGTCAGCGGCTTTGAAGGTTCTTTTGAAAATACCAACTTCACCTGCAAAGAAAAGAAGTACTTTTTAAAAAAGGATCAAGAACAAAAGTTTTAGAGTTTGCTGTTGAAATCCAAAATGGTAGGCCCTAGGAATGAACAGCCACTAAGTGCCAGTGGGATGACAAACTAAGATGGAAAGTGAAGAATCGGTTTCTTTGGAAAGGCTGAAATTAATGACCACAAGCCCACCTAGCATGCTGAAGCATCCTCCAGTGATAAACTCAACAATGGTTTTGCATTTCAGTTGAAATTTATACCTCCACAGGAGGCACCCCTCTTGAGGGAAAGCACAGAAGAAGGTTGTGTTAATCTTTACACTCTGGCCTAATGGCATGCAGCAAATACTTGTTTTTAAAATGACATTAGTTACACCACCATGCTTTCCACTCAAGAAAGCATATTTAACGTATTGTGAGAGGGCATTTCCTAGGACTTATTTCTCCAGGTACCTAAATGTCCTTCCATGCATCATTATGCAACATCTGAACCATAACCTTGAGGTAGTGTTTTTAAAATAACAAATTTTGGAGGGTATAAAATTACAAACATGCCCAGGCAAAATATTTTTCTTTTAAAAATCTGATTTTTCCCCATTTCTAAAATTTAAATTAGAAACAAGATTGTTTTACATGTCAATCCCAGTTACCCTGTCCTCCTTTCCTCCCCTGCCCTCCACAACTAACACCCTACCTATCCCTTTCTGCTCCCCAGGGAGGGTGAGGCCTTCCATAGGGGATCTTTAGAGTCTGTCATATCCTTTGGGATATTACTGAACACTTTAACACAGCAATTTAAGGCCTTAACTATAGCTGACACCCCTTCTGATGATGCATGATAATATTAAGACCACATTCTAAGTGATCTCTCACTCAACTCAAAAGCCTGGCTTCTCTCCAGTCCTGTGCTCAGGGACAAATCTAAGCTTAAGTAGATAGAGCAGCTGAGGTGAAAGGTGGCAAACACTGGAACAAGTCATGTGACTCAGTGTTCCATTGGCGGAGGGCAAGCTAGAACAGAAACTCACCTGTTACTAGATTCTTCAGTATAGTACCGCTATTCCACTTAGTAACTGACAGCCTCTACCCCAAATACCCCTAAAGCAGACAGTGGGGCATAAACAGCATCGTATTCTCCTTTAGGAAACAAAAGTATCACTCACCCCCAGTGGATTTGCTGCCTTCTGCAGTTTGTTGTAGGGACTGTATTTTGGTTTGGGGGGCTTCCCAGCAGCTCGGTCTTTGTGCCTTCTACTGCTAATGTGCTATTAAAAGCAATCAAAATGACAGCTTCAAAAATACACATTTACAAATCTCCCACAAATATTCTTTTTACCTGGAGGAAGATAATGCTTATTTCATGCATGTTTCACAAAGACAAAAGGAAAGAGCAGAGTACCATTCTGCCTTTGGATCCAGAAGCCTTTCACACTGTTCATTTTAATGTATTTTTAATAAATAGAACAATTTTCTTTTCTGCTCCATTTTTGCCCTATCACAGCATACATCTCCAAAAAGTATTTACAAAGGGAAGGATGTCTGGAAAGAATTTTATGTGCAAATAAACAAACATGCCCAGACAGGCATGAATGAATTTCCATACTAATATTTATCCTCATATTTGTGCAGCCAAATGCCAACCCCTTAAATTCTAAAAATAAATAACTAAGGTGCAAAATATCATCCATCCACAAACCACAACACAATGTGGGGGCTGAACCTTCAGTTGTAAATGCACCATTGCTTTCTGTAGAAGGCTATTTGGAGCACAAATGAGTGTCCATTGCCAGTCATGGCATCAGCAGGTGGTTGCAGGAATTAGAAATACAGTACAACAAATACTTACAATGAAAGGACATGCAGTAAAGAACAGCACAGTATGAAATTAGTTGTAGCAAAAAAATATCTAAATAAGTAAAATTAGAACATTTCATATTGGTCTTTAAAGAAAACCAACAGCTTTGAGTGGAAAGGTCAGTAGAGACAGGTTCTGTTATCCCTTCTCTTCCCAAAGTGCCTACACGAGAAACAGACAAATTCATTGCCCACAATTTCCAGCATGTTTTATTTATTAACCCTTGCAACTGAGTATTTCGTCAACAACTAAAATAAACATATGCTAAAATAAAAACCGTGAATAACAGACAAATGAGGGTGTGAGTAGATGGATGGATGTACTGATAGGTGGATGAAGAGATAATTGGATGGCCTGGTGAATGAATGGGTGTGTGGATGAGTGGAAGGATAGGCAGATGACTGGATGGATGAATGAACTGATCAATGAGTGGATGGGTAGTTACTTAGATGAACAGGTAGATTGATGAGTGGTTGTATGGATGATTTTTTGTTTAAGATGGATGGGTAGATGGATGAATTATGGACAGGTGAGTGGATTGATGGGAAGGTGGGTGAATGGAAAAGAAAGATATGAGAAGAACAGGAACATATATAGACTTCTCACAGGTGACTCTTTTGGCTTTCAGTTTTATGGTACCTGTTTGAGTTGTGTTTCCGAGTTGACGTGCACATCACATATTTCACAGTGAAATGTTTTGTTTTGGAGGCCTGTGTTTCCCTTATTAACAGGTCCTTTGCCCTTCATTCCTGCCCGAGGAAAGGCCTTGATAGTCCCACTTCCATTGCGGGCTTCCAGCATTGTTTTGTGCTTAGTACCTACCAGGGATATTTAGAAAGTAAAAGAAAAAGAAGAGAAAAATAGTATATTAATTATAGCCTTCAAATGGAACACCAAGTTTGAGGCTGCACTGAAATATTTCCAGGACACAGTAGTTTGCAAAAAGGATCTTTTGTTTTATAAGACAGTATTAAATTATTAACTTTTAAACTTGTTATCACATATAAACACTATGTGCAATTTAATGAGAGGTCTGGGGCAAAATTCAATGGGTGTGATTTTATGTCATTTGTTCTTGGTGCTAATATGACATAAATGATAGCTGGTAAGGAGGAGTGACCTGTTTGCTGAAAGTATGGTTGGAGGTGGAGTGTACCAAATGTAATTAGGTGAGTCATGGTGGTCTTACAGCAGTGGCATTTATTAAATATCCACGTCTAAACAGAATGCAAATAGGCTTTCCTGTCTCTGTATTTTAGGCTCAAAGAATAAGAGTAATAGTAATAAAAGTAAATATGACTTTAATTTTTTAGATTTTATTTTTAGTTATGAGTCTAGCCCCTAACAGCCGAGCAATCTCTCTATCCCTTTTTAAATTTTAGAATCCAGAAGAGGATGTTGGATTCTCTGGAGCTGGAGTCATAGAGAGTTGTGAGTCCATCGACATGGGTACTGGGAACAGAACTGGGATCCTCTGCAAGAGCAATAAGCAGTTTTAACCACTAAGCAATCTCTTTAGCCTGTCAAATAAAGATGTGTAAGGAGAGTTATGGAGTATAATTTCAAATGTAAACAAGTGGCCAAGAAGAGGGGAAGTTATTTAAAGGGTAGACAGGTATGCTGGAAATGAATGTTAAGTACTAAACCACCATATCTATATATGGACTGTCTCACATAATTAATGTAATTTCATTTAACTACCATTAACATTTGTTTTCTGATATCACTATTGTTATATATAGGTCATATTGGCAATTTCCCCTCAAAAATTGCTTAGAATGTATCATATTTTTCTAGCTAATATATTTTCTTTGTTTTGCCCACTTTTGCTATGAAATTTTCTTTTTCCTTTATGTCATTTTAATTTTTTAAATTTCCTTATTGTAGCACCTCCTTTCTACTTTTATTTATAATATTGTTGGTCAGTTCTGGAAATATAGAAAAAGTGTTTCTGAGTCACATGTACAATATTCTTGAATATTCATAATATTTTTCTGAGTCATGTGTACAGAACTCTTGAATATTCATGAAAAACAATGTTGTGAATATGATAGAGATTACATCATGCTCAAGAAGAGACAAATTCAGGAAGAGCTTCATTGCCACATTTTTGTTGTTCAATAAAAACCATTACTTCACCAAGTTCAAATAAAGAATCCTTTCCTATAACGCAGGCTGTTCTATTTGATGATGACTGTTCCCAGTGCACAGCTATCAAAGAACTCTTGTACTCAAGAAGAGAATGGGCACCTGCAGGAAGAAGGCATGCAAAGACTCCTGAGTCACAGAGTGGGCTCATAGTGGTGTCTGGGATGCCTCATTGCTTGTTTTGTGTGACCATCCTTGCAGTACAGGGTACACAAATGCTTCCCATATCCTCTGAATATGGAAGAGAGTAAGGGACACTAATTTCCCAGGACATATATGTATGGCTATCAGAACAGCTAATTTTTACAGATATTTCAGACAATATGGGAAGCACTTATGAGGTCATTTCAGCTAAGGTATAGGCCAATTCTCATTCTGACTTTCATGATGGAACTCTTGTTCCACTTAGCTTCAAATTCTTTGTGACTTGGAAGTAGTAACTAATATATAGAACACAAACACACAAAAAAATCTAAAAATGTAGCAAGGATGGTATAACAGGGATCTCAACTGAGTCATTGACTCTCTGGATACCATGTATCCCCAAATACAGACAAATTCTTGTGTTCATAGTTGCAGAATGTCAGTTGTTATAAATAGCTACTGTCTACTTTTTACTAAATTTTCAAAGTATGAACAAGCTGTGAAGGTAGCTACATTTTCTCTAAATGTCGCTAAACTCCAGAGGGAAAAAAGCGTGCTCTTAATTTGAAAGCATTTATATATTTGAGAGAAAAAGTGCATTAACAATATAAACATCATGGCTATTTAAAAGTTACCTTTATTGAATATTTAATGCATTTCAGAGGCTGTGCTAAAATTTCTCCTGCTCACTGCCAACCTGAATTGGTGCTATTATTATCCCTTCTCTAGAGATGAGAAAACAGGTGCTGAAAGGTCAGGTTACTGGCATGTGGTCATAAAGCAAACACCATTTGAAGTCCTAGTAAACAGAAAATGAATTCCTAGCTATGTTTCCAAATACTGACTAAGGGCTCCCAAACCATTAGGGCACAGTCATATACAAGTCTTTCTTCAGTACACCATTCTACACATCATTTGGAAAAGCAGAAATTTACTTCAGGTCTTTTGACCATCTCCACCTGTGTTGTTCCCCACAGTCCTTTCCCACTTAGCAGAGCTTCATGAATCCTCACATCTGGAAAGCATTTCTCTGGCCAGTGATACCATCTCTGTTTTCATCATCCTGTGAACATTTGCCAAAACTGACATCTATTTTCATGACTGCTCAGCAGGGCATTGTGAGCCTGCTTCTGCCCTTGACTCGTCCCCTTCTGAGGAGAGACACCTTTGGAAGCTAGGTGTGCCAGCTCTGTAAGGCTGACACTGACAATGGCCTCCATGTGAAGCCCCATGTCTCCTGAAAGAGAAACCACAGCTTGAACTCACAGGTCATAAGGCTTTCAGAAACCCTGTATGTGTTTGCTATTTGTTTAGTTTGAGAAAGTTTGAGCAAGTTAAATACTGTTCTAAAATGGGAAGAAGGGGCTTGTTTTCCTATAATCTTTAGAACATCTTTGTCTTTGTAGTTCTCTTTCTCCTCTTCATTTTCTTGCACCTCATTCATCTCCTATTTCTCTAACTCCTCCTCTTCCAACTCCTCCCTTCTTCCTCCTACTCCTTCTGTGGTGCTGAGATAGAGCCCACAGCCTCATACATACAAGGGAAGCACCCTCCTGCAGCTCTCTTCATCAGACTTATGACTTTCTTTGTTTGCTTTATTTATTAATAAATAAAGCTTCAATCATAAATGATTTGCTAGAAAATTATAGAATATCTTTTTAAAAGAAACCAAACATAATCCTGCCAACTAGATTTTTAACAAAGCAAGAAAAAATGGTTTTTATGAACCAGTCTTTTATTTTCCATTTGAATTTATTTATGATTAGTGTGTCTATCTAAAGGAGGCCATATTTCCATGGACACTGTGGTGGTCAGAGACAACCTTTGTGAAGTCTGTTCTTTCCTTTCACCCTTATGTAGGGATTAAACTCAGACTGCCAGGCTGGTGGGGCAAGGCCATTCCTTTACTGAATGAGCCATCTCCTCTTATCTTATTCATATGTGAATTTTTAAAAGCCTGGAAAACTTATCTAAAGTAGTACTGTATAAAATTTATTATGGAATCACATATTCTTTCAGAAATGCACATGTTTTTTAATGATATCACAATGGATAATCACTTATCCAATGCTAAGAATTAGAATTAGTCTCTTTTTTTCCTTAAATGATTAGGTTGTGGTAAGCCTCATACTCATTACATTTTTTGTTTCAAATCTGATAGTTTCTTCAGTAAAAATTTCATAAATAGGTCTACAAGAATAAAGAATCTGAATATTTTTAATGTCTGGATCCAAATTTTGTAAGCATTGCTAAGGTAGTTCTAGAGGAAAAATCTATCTTGCTACAATCTATCCTGGTGTAGTCTGAAATTTTCCCATTTATAAATAACTTCAATACCCTAAATTTAATCCCTTAATGCCCATTTATACTCCTATGTTTTACATCATGTAACTACAATCTGAATGCATCATGGAACTGCCAATAATCATCTAACTGCCTTCGAACTCACAAGTCCATTGATTTGGGCTGTGGATAAGCATTAGGTTACTAGCTTAAAGTGATCCACACAAACCACACAGTGCCAGATGCTATTTTGATGTGTATATTTAACTCTTCAGTATGTACTGTTTCTTATGTTCTAAAGAAGAAAAGAAAAGAACTTAAACTTGCATACCCAAAATGTATGCTGAGCATCACAAGCCCAGGTACTCTTCTCTAAGAACTTTAACTATAAAATCAGTCTTTCGTCACCCAGATACCAATATAGAATGTATCTTCCATGTTAATTACATTTTTATTTTGTCTCTGGGAAAAATGAAACAATATATTCGCAACATCAAGCACATAGAATGGTATCCAGGTTGTCAAAGTGTCACCAAATGCCATGTGTGATTAAAAGTAGGACTACTCTGACATTCAGGCAGAAGGCAACTTCTCCAACAGATGCCACACTAGCATCCAGATCCTGAAGGAACACCCTACTTTTTGGACCACTAACACTCCCCCCAGAACCCTCTCAGTCTTACCTCAACAGCTCCTCTTCTCCTCACTACCCTACTCTGCCCACAACTCCAAGGCTTCCCCCAATTCAGACAGAAACCCCTACTGGCCAAAAGTCCACCCTTGCCATCAATTGGTCCAGTCTCCAACTTGGGAAGAAATCCTCTACTCAAGCACAGGCCATTCTGGAAATAAGACCACAGAGGAAACAGAAATCAAGGAACAAAATTAAAAAATCATACCTTATACCTACAATTACTCCAAACCCAGATGCCTAAATGCCAGTGTAAGAAGACAGGGAGCAACATCCTGGTCAATATATCACCACCAGACCTCACCCCATCCTATTACTATTTCAACACAGCTAGAACACAAGTAAAAGACCACAAAACCAACTTTACAATGATGATACATGCCCTTAAAGAGGAACAGAACAAATCCCTTAAAGAAATCCAGGAAAACACAAACAATTGGAAGGGAGGAATGAATCACTTAAAGACATTCAAGAAAAAATAGTTGATGAAAATAGATTAAACTGTTTAAAACCTTAAAATGAAAATAGAAGCCATAAAGTAAACAGAAATTG